TAGATAATAATGAACAATAATTTTAAATGTATGATTGAAATTAAAATTTGAATTTTTTAAGAAAAATGATTGAAAAGATGATAGAATATAATTATTGGTTGGTAAATATGAACGAATATACTAGTACCATTCAATATTAATAGCGTTCAAATTTTGAACGAAAGACGCGTGACCGGTAGGGCTAATATATTTGGCCGGTTAGAAAAAGAGTGAAAGTGGTTGGCCAGGCATAGTCTTAAAAGCTACAACCTACATGTTTGTGCTTTGCACTACCCATTTACCCAAGCACGACAATATACACTTTCCAAGTGGTCAAACATAAAACCAAGGTGTGTTCTAGGGTTAAAATCAAGAACTACTATATTTTCACATTGTTCAGAATGAACAAAAATGGATAAGTTCGGGTTATCGACCAGAAGCACAGGTCGCATCAACAAGAAATCATGCTACAACAAACAGAAAATTCATAACAAGTGATCAATGCTATGAACCAAACAAAAATTCACAGTGATCGCGCGGTTTACATTGAAACCTGAGAATCTGCTTTCATTATAATGGTGCTGTCAATGCCATGATAAATACATGCACCCAATGATGTAAGAATGAACACATCATAACCTACCAAATGAACAGAGCAGAACAGATAGAACACTGATCCTCACGAGGAACAAAAAAATGGATTTGCTAACTTACAATTTTACAATGCACTTTGCTTATCCTAATGAAAATTCGAAGAAACAAATTTCTGCTGTGCAGAAGGATAGGCCGGTTCAAACAATTAAGAAGGGAACGACTAAAAAAAGAATTTGCAATAAAGAATTGAGGTAGTGAATGTGTAAAGAACTTGCATACAAATGACTGTATAACGTAGCATGAAAAGAAATAAACACGATAAAATGACTGAGAACACTAACAAACATGCTAAAAAGGTATTAATCGATCAATATTGCAGTCAATTTAGCATCTTAAAAGGAGGCTTAGGAGATATTCTGATGAATAGCTACTTTTAAGTAAACGGTATTAAATTCCAATCTGCTTCTATTTTGTCGCGACATGGACAATGCAGGTTGTAAACCAGTAACGGCATATTAATGACCAATCATCCATAAGATCTAACCATATTGATCTGCCAGTATAAATGTACAGGAAATGAATTTATCCACACATATCTAATCATTATAGAAATCTAACCATAAGAAACTGTTACCCGAAAGTCATCAAACACGTTAAACTTGAATGCAGTGATTTTAAACAAAGAGGAAACCTCATGCACAAGTCTTGGGCATGAACCATGTAAAAACAAAAAAGAGATAGCATAAAGCTCCCTACACCTCGAGGAAGAGATAGGGTTATTGTTAAGCACAAAAGCACAAAGGCAAAAACTTGAACTTGACAAAAAGCTAAGAAGATTGCTTTCATAACTCATGATACCTTCAAGCATATCAGAATCAATAGATAGTAGCAAACCTAAGTAGTAAAAGCTCAGATAAGCCAGTACATCAAATCTTACTACTGAGCCATACCAAACTAAAAATGCAGACAGGACAACAATTCAAACAAGCCTGCAAGAAAAACTAAAGTTACACCAGTCCATCCGGATAGCTAATGACCAACATGTTAATCACATGAGATGTATATAAAGCTAGCAAACAACTTGCAGCTCAAATCATCCAAAAGAATGGCAAACCATATGAAACAAATGAAATGAACATAACATGGAACAAAATTTATCGCACAAGTGCAGCATAAGTAGTCGTTCTTGTAGCATTGAATGAGATGAGACTTCCATTTTTACATTAAAAGATCCGAAAATGGATTTCATAAATCAGCAAGAAAAAAATCCAGAAACGACACATAACAAATAGATAGTAGACGTTCTTACATCTAGTTTTAAAAGTAAATAAAACAATACACAAGTCTTCGACAACAGATTTCATATACATTCCAAAGAAGTCAATAGGACAGTCGATGACACGCAATCATCGAAAGACAATAATATCACAAAGGGACACTGAATATCCATCCATCATAATATCCTCTATTTTCCATAACATCAATTTTATAAATCTAATTCAAGTAAATCCTCTTCAAACAACAGGATACCCATAGCAGCCTGACCTCCAACCCACCTTAGTTTTTATCTCACCAAAGGCTTTACCCTAGCTATGAGCATTTTTTTTTTTCATTTTTTTAGGGTTTTCCTCCGCAAAATAAAAACAAAAAATTAAAAAAAGGAAAAGAAATAAGTAATTTAACTAGATGAGTTTTCCAAATGATTTGGTCGTCATCAGGACACAACATCAAAGTCGGAGGGCCGTGCAAGCTAGGTCGCACACGTCAGAGTCTACACCATAAGCGTCCATTGGCGGCGGGAAGTTGAGGTCGAAAGGTAAAGGCTTTTTACATAAGGAGGCGGCGACGTCGCATTCACCATCATCCACAACGGAGGAGGAGGAATCACAGTCGCTGTGACAGTCGTCAGGAGACATCGGCGGCGACCTGGGATATCTCCTTTGCGGCTGAATAAGTTGCGGAGGTGCCAGCTGCCTGGGTCCACTAAACGACTCGACGGTGCTGCTCATGCCGCTGGAGGTAGGCCTCTGCGGGCCAACTATCTGGTGGTCCTGAGGGTAAAATCGAGGATCCACCATGAACGGATCGTTAGGCAGATTACTGATCTGTTGATTATTAAAATTTTGAGGGTTGAATTCATGGAAGACGCCGTTCTGGGTGTTGGATAACGGAAAGTTCGTCTTAGCCTTGTGGCCCCGGAGAGATAGAGCAGCAGCGTCGTAGGCCCTAGCCGCGTCTTCAGCAGAATCAAACGTACCTAGCCACACCCCAGTCTTCTTCCAAGGGTTTCTGATCTCTGCAGCAAATTTTCCCCATGGTCTCTTTCTCACTCCCCGAAATTTGATCTCCTTAGATCCTCCAGATCCGTTGGCCTCTCTGCCGTTCGCCGCCATTTGCCTTGCCGCCGCCGTCGCTCCTCTGCCTCGCCTCATTGTCAGATTCGATCGATACAGCAGCAAAAATATAATTTCCGAGAAGGAAAACAAACAAATCTTTCTCTCACAAGAAAAGGCTTTAGAAATAGATTAGAGAGAGAATAAATAAATATGTACAAAAAACCAAACAAAATCAGGGAGAAAGACCAGATTGCGATAATTTTTTCTCTCTCTACTGTGCGTGTAAAGAGAAATGGGTGGAGAGGCCCCCAGGCATATCTCCCAGTGGCAAAGGGGAGAGCGGATAGGACTCAGCGCTGCAGTGTGCAGAGTTCGATTCCCCGCAAGGTGGAATTGATTTTGTTGCAAGCGGGAGTTACCATATGGGTTAACAGCCTTGGCCTATTCATATGCTCTCTACCCTGGCTCCTGAGAGGCACATCCTGCGATTTACCTCCTCCACGATGACCCAGGACAGGATCAGTGGGGGCCCCTAAGATTGGGGTTCAACCTTTAGAAATGGGTGGAGAGAGAGAGCAGAGTTTTTTTTTTTTTGAATTTTTTTTTCCTTTTTTCGGGTGGATTTCTTTTGGTTTCTCGATTTCTCCGCCTTTATGAAAAGACCAAAACAACTTTTTAATTTAGGCTTATTTGAACCATATTTTTTGAAAAAAATATATTTTTGAATAATGTTTGAAATCATTTCAATCACACATTTTTCGATAAAATATTATTATACGTACATCAAAATTTTTATTTATTTTTTAACCACATATTTTTCATTATTACACTATTTAAAAATACATTTTCATTCCAATAATGTGACTCAAACCAGGGCTAAAACTAAACTTCCGTACTTAGTTTATGATAAGTACGTGACACTTTATAATAGGTGATGAATGATAATGGTTAAACTTCATTTTAAGCCCCTGTTTGGCCCCCATTACGGGAAAGAATTTGCAATAAAGAATTGAGGTAGTGAATGTGTAAAGAACTTGCATACAAATGACTGTATAACGTAGCATGAAAAGAAATAAACACGATAAAATGACTGAGAACACTAACAAACATGCTAAAAAGGTATTAATCGATCAATATTGCAGTCAATTTAGCATCTTAAAAGGAGGCTTAGGAGATATTCTGATGAATAGCTACTTTTAAGTAAACGGTATTAAATTCCAATCTGCTTCTATTTTGTCGCGACATGGACAATGCAGGTTGTAAACCAGTAACGGCATATTAATGACCAATCATCCATAAAATCTAACCATATTGATCTGCCAGTATAAATGTACAGGAAATGAATTTATCCACACATATCTAATCATTATAGAAATCTAACCATAAGAAACTGTTACCCGAAAGTCATCAAACACGTTAAACTTGAATGCAGTGATTTTAAACAAAGAGGAAACCTCATGCACAAGTCTTGGGCATGAACCATGTAAAAACAAAAAAGAGATAGCATAAAGCTCCCTACACCTCGAGGAAGAGATAGGGTTATTGTTAAGCACAAAAGCACAAAGGCAAAAACTTGAACTTGACAAAAAGCTAAGAAGATTGCTTTCATAACTCATGATACCTTCAAGCATATCAGAATCAATAGATAGTAGCAAACCTAAGTAGTAAAAGCTCAGATAAGCCAGTACATCAAATCTTACTACTGAGCCATACCAAACTAAAAATGCAGACAGGACAACAATTCAAACAAGCCTGCAAGAAAAACTAAAGTTACACCAGTCCATCCGGATAGCTAATGACCAACATGTTAATCACATGAGATGTATATAAAGCTAGCAAACAACTTGCAGCTCAAATCATCCAAAAGAATGGCAAACCATATGAAACAAATGAAATGAACATAACATGGAACAAAATTTATCGCACAAGTGCAGCATAAGTAGTCGTTCTTGTAGCATTGAATGAGATGAGACTTCCATTTTTACATTAAAAGATCCGAAAATGGATTTCATAAATCAGCAAGAAAAAAATCCAGAAACGACACATAACAAATAGATAGTAGACGTTCTTACATCTAGTTTTAAAAGTAAATAAAACAATACACAAGTCTTCGACAACAGATTTCATATACATTCCAAAGAAGTCAATAGGACAGTCGATGACACGCAATCATCGAAAGACAATAATATCACAAAGGGACACTGAATATCCATCCATCATAATATCCTCTATTTTCCATAACATCAATTTTATAAATCTAATTCAAGTAAATCCTCTTCAAACAACAGGATACCCATAGCAGCCTGACCTCCAACCCACTTTAGTTTTTATCTCACCAAAGGCTTTACCCTAGCTATGAGCATTTTTTTTTTCATTTTTTTAGGGTTTTCCTCCGCAAAATAAAAACAAAAAATTAAAAAAAGGAAAAGAAATAAGTAATTTAACTAGATGAGTTTTCCAAATGATTTGGTCGTCATCAGGACACAACATCAAAGTCGGAGGGCCGTGCAAGCTAGGTCGCACACGTCAGAGTCTACACCATAAGCGTCCATTGGCGGCGGGAAGTTGAGGTCGAAAGGTAAAGGCTTTTTACATAAGGAGGCGGCGACGTCGCATTCACCATCATCCACAACGGAGGAGGAGGAATCACAGTCGCTGTGACAGTCGTCAGGAGACATCGGCGGCGACCTGGGATATCTCCTTTGCGGCTGAATAAGTTGCGGAGGTGCCAGCTGCCTGGGTCCACTAAACGACTCGACGGTGCTGCTCATGCCGCTGGAGGTAGGCCTCTGCGGGCCAACTATCTGGTGGTCCTGAGGGTAAAATCGAGGATCCACCATGAACGGATCGTTAGGCAGATTACTGATCTGTTGATTATTAAAATTTTGAGGGTTGAATTCATGGAAGACGCCGTTCTGGGTGTTGGATAACGGAAAGTTCGTCTTAGCCTTGTGGCCCCGGAGAGATAGAGCAGCAGCGTCGTAGGCCCTAGCCGCGTCTTCAGCAGAATCAAACGTACCTAGCCACACCCCAGTCTTCTTCCAAGGGTTTCTGATCTCTGCAGCAAATTTTCCCCATGGTCTCTTTCTCACTCCCCGAAATTTGATCTCCTTAGATCCTCCAGATCCGTTGGCCTCTCTGCCGTTCGCCGCCATTTGCCTTGCCGCCGCCGTCGCTCCTCTGCCTCGCCTCATTGTCAGATTCGATCGATACAGCAGCAAAAATATAATTTCCGAGAAGGAAAACAAACAAATCTTTCTCTCACAAGAAAAGGCTTTAGAAATAGATTAGAGAGAGAATAAATAAATATGTACAAAAAACCAAACAAAATCAGGGAGAAAGACCAGATTGCGATAATTTTTTCTCTCTCTACTGTGCGTGTAAAGAGAAATGGGTGGAGAGGCCCCCAGGCATATCTCCCAGTGGCAAAGGGGAGAGCGGATAGGACTCAGCGCTGCAGTGTGCAGAGTTCGATTCCCCGCAAGGTGGAATTGATTTTGTTGCAAGCGGGAGTTACCATATGGGTTAACAGCCTTGGCCTATTCATATGCTCTCTACCCTGGCTCCTGAGAGGCACATCCTGCGATTTACCTCCTCCACGATGACCCAGGACAGGATCAGTGGGGGCCCCTAAGATTGGGGTTCAACCTTTAGAAATGGGTGGAGAGAGAGAGCAGAGTTTTTTTTTTTTTGAATTTTTTTTTCCTTTTTTCGGGTGGATTTCTTTTGGTTTCTCGATTTCTCCGCCTTTATGAAAAGACCAAAACAACTTTTTAATTTAGGCTTATTTGAACCATATTTTTTGAAAAAAATATATTTTTGAATAATGTTTGAAATCATTTCAATCACACATTTTTCGATAAAATATTATTATACGTACATCAAAATTTTTATTTATTTTTTAACCACATATTTTTCATTATTACACTATTTAAAAATACATTTTCATTCCAATAATGTGACTCAAACCAGGGCTAAAACTAAACTTCCGTACTTAGTTTATGATAAGTACGTGACACTTTATAATAGGTGATGAATGATAATGGTTAAACTTCATTTTAAGCCCCTGTTTGGCCCCCATTACGGGAAAAATTTAATGTATAGAATAGTGTTTTTTGAAAAATGAGTGGTTGAAAAAGAAAGAAAATTTTTTGATTTACGTGTAATATTATTTTATGGAAGATTGTGTGATTAAAAATAGGAGAGAGAAAAATAGAATGGAATGTAATGAAAATCAAACAAGGGCTAAACTTATCTTTGATTATGTTTTCATTTAATTATATAAAATAGCACATACAAAATATGAAGAATAACAAAAGAGGCCATCTTCTTCCTTCACCCATCTCACCCCCAACTACCAAATCTTCAAGTTCAAGGTTGAGTTTGAAGGAGACAAATTTTGACCTCATCAATTTGTTATATAACTAGTCAATTGTTATAGTCTTGGACTTGATAGAACAGTTAATAAAATTTATTACGTGTTCTTTTTAATTTTCAATGAAATGTAATTCAACGAATTTGTATTTCCTTATTTGTGCTAGTGAAATTACGAAATGTAAGCATGAGAGCATTTTCAAAATATACTCTTTATTATAAAAATAAAAAATTCTTTAAGTTTCAATAATAATTTTGTTTACACTTCAATAATACTTTATTTTTTCTTTTCATTTTATTTTTTAAGTAATATTTTTTTCCATCAACAAATATAATTTGAATAAAGTAGAATATTGAAATTTGTAACTTATCAAAGAGCATTTTGAAGCTTTTGCAAGCACTTACTCTCTACGATTGTGAACATCTAATATTTATATGGTATTTTGAAAACACTCCGATACATGACCTTTTCCTTTGAGGTAAATATGCCTTTAGTTATACCACTTCCAGTTCCAACACCACCACATGAAACGAGATTAATTATACGAAATCGCATAGTAGAGTACGCAAAAGAATAACTAAAAAGTTGGGAATTTAGCCTTGATAAAACTTGAGGAGTTGGGCTATCGACCCTAATCTTGGATGACATTGCCTGTAGGGCATCGAACAATATTCTTAAAGTATTTCATATATATATGTTAAAAACGAGAATAAAAGTGTCATAAAATAAAAGAATAATACTATCTAGCAGGTCCACACTAGATATTTTCAATTAAATGAGTAATGTGACATTGTATTTTGTTTAACATATCATTTAATGTCATGTAATTGTCATCTAAATCGATGTTTGACATTGATGATGCTGAATATCGTTATTTAAAATAGAATTACAGTTTCCCTCGAATTATTTCCACGGACCACGTTGCATGGATCCACAGTCAGCACTGTTAACCCCATAACGGAACCACCTATATAGACCATAGGACGAACCCCTGCAGCAATTGATTTTTCAATTTTCAAAAGCTAATCCCAACCTGATCCATTGTTGTGAATTGGTTGTCCAAAACCAACTAATGAAGTCTGTGGAATGGAACGGGACCTTCGCATGGGCGTAAGGTCTCGGTATGTATGAAACATACGATCGCACGGTACAAATTTGTGACTGTTAGTGGTCGTTTTTTTTTTTTTTTTTTAAACATTAAGGATTTGAATTTAATGACCTTTCACTTGACTTTTGTCACCATCTCAAGTATATGGACGATGCCTATGTATGGAGGGGTCATGTTCAAAGGGAAAATGTTAGAAACATTTTATAATCCATACTTGGTTCCCCAAATAGTCAAATCACGTATTACATTCATATTCACATTTTCATTGTGTTCTTCGAAGTTTTGGTAGAAAATTATTTGCACTTTGATTTTTTCTGCATCAAAGCTTGTTATAATCTTTTAAATCATTGGTCGGAATAATTTTAAGCATCTCATTACTTTTGGAGATGGGGCAAATATAGGACAACGATATCGTCTTCAAGCCTTTAAATTAGTTCTCATCAGGAATTTTGGTTTCAATTTCTTTTGTTGTTAAGGCTCTGTTTGAGCCACATTTTTGGCAAAAAAAATACATTCTTAAATAGTGATTTGATATCATTTTAATCACACATTTTCAATAAAATAATATTACACGTAAATTCAAAATTTTTATTTATTTTTTAATCATACATTTTTCATTAATACACTATTTATAAATATATTTTTTTGAGAATAATGCGACTCAAAGAAGGCTAAATTTTGCGTTCTTTTTCTCGAACCCCATTGTTTTCCAACACCCGATAATACCAACCAGACGTGGCCCAGTTTGACGGAGTAGTATATGGGGCCCCCAGAATGAAAGTTTGACCACAAAAATCTCTATATTTCCCCGCCTTAATTGACAGGGAACCGGCTAAGCCTGTTAGAGTGACAGCAAAAGGCTGGAGATATGGGCGACCGGCTCTCATCCCTATATGACTGACACGTTTCAATTTAAGTCATCAATGGTATGAATTTTCAAAGTGGAACGTTGACCACAGAAGCTGGATGGTGGGTGCGGGTATTATGCGGCCAAATTACGTTGCTTGTTGTGCCAATACAATTGGCCTGCAAATGTTTTTTATTTTCTCAAGTAAAGGTTGGTCGTTTGGTAAACTAATGATTACGTTGTTTAATGATTTTTTTTTTTTGAAAAAATCAAAATTTTATCCGTTATTTTACTGGTCTTAAGCCCGTTTGTTTTTCATTATTTGATCAAAAAAATGAAAAATATAATCATTATTCATCATATCAAGTAATTATATTTGACTTTCTATTTCGTGTGAATTTCATAACGACTGTATTTTACATTTTCATTCTCATAAGAATGGAAATTGTTGATCTCGAAAATTGATCCTTCCACGTGGCCAACTGAAAGCTACTCCACGTATTTTTCTCTGCGCACAATCAGCAAATAGTCAGACGTACACGGCCATAACCAGCGGGGGTGATGACGGCCGTATACACTTCGACGGTCAAATCAGATTTAAGTGGTAGGGGCTGTGCAAATCAATAATAAAGGGGGAGGAGAAAATATATAAACTTGCTATGGAGTGCTATGTAGTGAGAGTTTCATTACATTTGCCTCTTGCCAAACATTGGGTATTTATAGGTGATATGAACCATTGGATGTGGGACGCGTGTATACATCTGGCGGTATGAGGCGTCCGCTCATAGGCGTCAATCAGCCGCGTCCGTAGAGTGGGCGGACAGTTTGTTTCTTTTGAGTTGAATTGACATAAAGTTGATAAGTCACATCAACTAGCCTCATGGAGACGTCAAATCAATTTAAACCTTAGGTGCATGAAGGATCTTGGAACAAATCTCTTTCTGAAATTGGCGGCGGATCTTCTAACCAGGGTCCACTTGGTCTCGACCTCGGGGGTGAGGTGCTTTGACAGGTCAGTAATAGGAATCGCTTGTATTTAAACATTTCGGACGGGTCTTTATCAAGTCGAAATATGTGGTGCTGCGCGTTCCGAGGCATATAAGATCGGAGTGTAATAGTGGTCCCCCAAGTCCAAGTATGAATATTTATATCATGGGTGGACTTGCTTTCCTGACGGATCGCGAGTCGTGGGAGTTTTGGGGGTTGATCTATTATAGTAATCGAGGTTATGATCCCAGGCGGACGTGCCAAAGCTTCGTTACTGTACGTAGCGTACGAGGCGGTCAACAAGCATGGAACTTCACGTCAAGTGCGTCGAAGCTTCGTGAATATGGTGCGCTGACCCCACAGACTGACGCATTGGGAGATGACCCAAAGGGGCGTCCAAGCTTTGTAAAGTTGAGGGAACGCAGCGTCCGAGGCGATGACCCAAAGGGGCCTTCGCGTCAGGTGCGTCCAAGCTTTGTAAAGTTGAGGGAGGAGCTCATCTGTCACCGGTGCGCTGACCCACAAGGCCGACGCGTTGGGAGATGGCTAAAACTTTGTAAAGCATGGGAGGGAACGTAGCGTCCGAGGCGATGACCCAAAGGGGCCTTCGCGTCAGGTGCGTTCAAGCTTTGTAAAGTTGAGTGAGGAGCTCGATCCGAGGCGATTCGAACGTCAAATGATTTGACAACTGTTGCGTGTTTTCAAGTTGACAGTTGCGTGCCATGCCCATTCTCCTAAAAGGCTGCTGCGGCTACTAATTATTATTGACGGCTGGTTGTAACCGAGGTGATGCATTTTAAGCAAGCATGAAAGTCACAGCGACATATTGGGCGTAGATCAAATCTGGCGTTTCATTTCAATGGCCTAGATTGAAGATGCGGTGAACGGCCTAAATTGATCGCATTTGAATTCGACGGTGGAGATCGGATTTGTCGTTCTATAAAAGGAGGACTCTAAGGTTTTCTCAAGCTTTCTACCCTTGCGAAACAAACACTATATTTTTCTCTCAAGTCATTGGCGATTTTCGGTGTTTTCTAAGCAATTTCGGCCAGAAAATTAAACTTCCGACGACCTTACACCGTTTCCGGCTAGGAAAAACTCCAA